GAAACATAAAAAAATTCATAAATTTATTTTAAGAAATAAAACCAAATAGGTATTATTAGCATAAACAAGCCTAAGATAATCGATCAGAAAGCAGTATACCTCATTTAAAAAAAAAAAAAAAAAATTTTAATCAACAAAACAACAATAGCCTTAAATAAACTCTAACGCTGTCATAGATACCTCATTCGAAATATGACAACCAATCAAAAGTGTAGGAAAATGATCATCCCGCGAAACCCAAAATCATAACAATAATTGAAAAATATATGATAGCGAAAAAGAACGTTGCACAAAAACCTTATTAAAATTATTATTAAAAATGTAAGCGGTATATATGTAAACATTTAATAAAGGATATAAAAATATTCTCTGAATAATAATAAAGATGAAAAATGTGCATGTTATAATTAAAACAAAGCTGAACAATGAATGCAACAAACAGTAATAATATGAAAATCAGGAGATAAATAATATATCAACAAACACTGCAACAAGACTAACTAAATATTGCAATAAAACCAGATCATTTTAAGCCAAATGAGTGGTTAAAAAACTCACCATGGGTAATATAACAACGATATAAGTCGTAATGTAAAAACGATGTACAAAGCGGGAAAAAAATTATTAAAAAAAGTGAAGTTTTCTCTACGGTCCGAACTAAAAGAAACTTTGAGACCATATCTAAATCAAAATTTCCGAAAAGTAAAGTTTTCTCTACGGTCCGAATCAAATGTAATTTTGAGACCATAACAAAATAATAAGGAAAAACATACATCATAAAAACATATTGAAAGCCGCTAGTTTATAAGAATCGCTCTTATATCTATATATATATATATATATATATATATATATATATATATATATATATATATATATATATACAAACATACACATACACATACACATATGCGGGAACATACACATACACATACGGGAACAATCGCTCCTGTCACATGAAACTGCTTCATGTCCTGCTGCCTTGTAGGATATGCCATTTTAGGCAAAGGCTAGGAGATGCAAACTCCGACATAACACACCCCCTGCCTTGGGGCTCTTGGTTGAGTAAAGGCTAGAGATGGTGTCTCGATAAAAATACTCATCTTGGGCAGATGTTACATGCATACGGCTGCTGTCTTGTAGAAGGCCTCCTAGGCAAATACTTAAGGGGTAAACAGATTCTATCTGTTGACCAGCCTCGCACCCCTTCGTCATCTATTAGGCTGGTGCAGATGTATTTTTAATACATTGTTTCCAGTTTAGGATGTTGAACGCTGGAACTTCTTGACTCGATTCATGGGTTTTGCTTGTGTCTCTGTTTTTATGACTAGGCAACTCATTCTACTATCTCCAAATGAGGGTACAGCTCTAAAACTCAGTTTTATGGTTCTGAGGCCGGCTGGTAGTCAGGTTTCCCGAACTCTGTGGTAGCTCTCAGAGAGGCTGATTCCACCAACAGCTGAAAAATATCAGAGTACTAACAGTGCCATGTTGCGCATGGATGGTGTCCCTGTTTGTACTTTTGGTGTGCATTGCCAAGGCCACATTGGAGCCCTGTGTTACAGCTTAGGGTTTTTTAGTGGAAATGAGGCAATTGCTTGAGCTATAGAACAGTGTACTGAGTACTATCAATGTTTCAAGTCAAGTTCTTTAACAAATTTAAAAATGAATAAAGTAACAAAAACTATAAAACACAAAAAACCACAGTCATCACCAAGTTCTCTAAACCTATCATTCACCAATATTCGTGGTCTTCGAAGTAACTTTTCTTCTGTTGAGCCTTATCTCTTGCAAAGTTCACCAGACCTGCTTGCTCTTTGTGAGACTAATTTGAGTTCAGCTGTCTTATCTTGTGATCTTTGTGTTGATGGTTATCTTCCTTTAATTTGTAAAGACTCCAATAGTCACATGCTTGGCCTGGGCATTTACATTCGTAAGAATTCACCCATTTGTCGGGAAACTAGGTTTGAATCCACAGACTACTCTTTTATGTGCTTTCGTTTAGCACCACTTCACTCTATCACCTTTCTCTTTGTTCTATATCGCTCGCCCTCATCCCAAGACTGCACTCTTCTTGATGTTATTTCTGATTATATTGACCAAGCCCTCATTCTTTATCCATCAGCCAATATTGAAGTTGTCGGTGACTTTAATGTTCATCACACTGAATGGCTTGGCTCTATTGTCAGTGACTCTGCAGGCATTAAGGCCCACAACTTTTGTCTTTCTCAATCCCTAACTCAAATAGTCAACTTTCCAACTCGCTTTCCAGACAACCCGAATCATTTACCTTCTCTACTCGACTTATGTCTTGTTTCTGATCCTAGTCAGTGTTCAGTTTCTTCACACTCACCCTTAGGTGCGTCTGATCATGGTTTGGTCTCTCTAAAACTATTATCTCATTCTTCTTTACTATTAGAATCCCCCTATCATCATACATCTTACAACTACCTTAAAGCTGACTGGGAGTCTTTTCGTGACTTTCTTCCTGATGGCCCCTGGGTAGAAATCTTTCGTCTCCCTGTTGACAAATGTGTTTCTTACATAACTTCGTGGATTCAGGCTGGCATGGGATCCTTTATTCCCTCTCGACAATTCCAGGTCAAGCCTCACTCTTCTCCATGGTTTTCCTCACATTGTGCTGCTGCAATTACCAATCGAAACCATTACTTCCATATCTATCAGCAAAACAATTCTCCAGAAAACAGACGTCTCTTTATTACTGCTAGGAACCATTGTAAAAAGGTTTTGTCTAACGCCAAAACCCGCTATTCTCAGATCATGAAATCTCGTATTTCATCACAAAAATTAGGCTCTCGTCACTTCTGGAGAATCTTTAATAGTATCAATAATAAGGGCAAGTCTGTAATTCCACCTCTTTTGTACGGTTCAGACTTTGTCACCTCACCTAAAGACAAAGCTGAATTGTTTGCCAAGAACTTTTCATCAATATCATCTCTTGATGCCACTAGTTGCATTCTACCTGATATAGCCGTCAAACAGGTTGATCCATTGCTCGACATTTATATCACTCCAGCTTCTGTATCTAAAGTGATTTCCCGCTTAGACTCTTCTACAGATTGCGGCCCGAACAACATACCTGTTATAGTCTTGCAGAAGTGTTCTCCTGAGCTGTTGTCTAACTTTTCAAAACTATTCAACAAGTGCTTATCAGAGTCTTGTTTTCAAGCCTGCTGGAAAGCAGCATCTGTTATCCCTATTTTTAAAAATTCTGGAGAGCGATCTGACTTATCTAACTACCGTCCCATTAGTCTTCTTCCTATCATAAGCAAGGTTTTTGAATCTTTAATTAACAAACACTTAATCTCGAATCTCGAATCTCATAACCTACTTTCTGATCATCAGTATGGATTTCGATCTTCTCGTTCTACGGCTGATTTGCTATCAGTAATAACCGATAAGTTTTATCGCGCATTAGATAAAGGTGGAGAGGTTAAGGCCATTGCTCTTGACATTTCTAAAGCGTTTGATAAAGTTTGGCATGCTTGTCTCCTCCATAAGCTTTCTTCTTATGGTGTATCTGGAAACATCTATAAGATTATTGAATCTTTCCTTTCCAATCGTAGTATAAAAGTTGTCCTTGATGGACAGCACTCTTCTTCTTATTCTGTAACCTCAGGGGTTCCCCAAGGTTCAATCCTTGGCCCTATACTCTTTTTAATTTACATTAACGATCTTCCAGATATTCTCACATCTAAGGTGGCATTGTTCGCTGATGATACTACCATTTATTCTTGTCACGATAAGAAGCCAACTCCCTCTGATTGCTTGCAGGGGGCATCTGAGCTCGAAAAGGATCTCACTTCTGCTACAGCATGGCGCTGGCAGTGGCTGGTGAACTTTAATTTAGATAAAACTCAGATAAAACTTTTTTTCGGCCAATCGTTATCGCAATAATTTAGACTATATTTATGAAAGGTAATGTACTCGATGAGTCTCCTACCCTTCATCTTCTAGGATTAACTCTTACTTCTGATCTTTCTTGGAAACCTTATATCAATTCCGTTGCAAAATTAGCATCTGCTAAAGTTGCATCTCTTTATCAAGCTCGTCACTTTCTTACTCTGGATTCTATTCTCTATCTCTATAAATCTCAAATCCGGCCTTGTATGGAATACTGTTGCCATATCTGGGGCGGATCTTTTAATGATGCCCTTTCTCTTTTAGACAAGGTGCAAAAACGCATTGCAAACATAGTTGGACCTGCTCTTGGAGCATACCTTCAACCTCTGTCACATCGTCATAATGTTGCTTCTCTTTTACTTTTCTACAAATACTATGATGGGCACTGCTCTAAAGAGCTAGCGTCTTTTGTGCCACCTACTAAAATTCATTCTCGTGTTACTCGTCATTCAATTAAGTCTCATCCTTTTTCTGTTACTGTTCCTAAGTGCTCCAAAAACTCTTATTCGTCTAGTTTTTTCCCTCGAACATCAGTTCTTTGGAATTCGCTTCCTTCATCTTGCTTTCCTGATTCATATTATTTGCAATATTTTAAGTCGTCTGTCAATCGTTATCTTGCTCTACAATCTTCATCTTTTCTCTTCCAGTAACTTCCAACACTAATTAGTGGTTGTTTACAACCTTGTTGGAAGCGAAGATAATTAAAATATATATATATATATATATATTCACACATATATATATATATATATATATATATATATATATATATATATATATATATATATATATATATATATATATATATATCATATATATATATATATATATATACATTTATATACATATAAACACACACATATATATATATATATATATATATATATATATATATATGCATATACATATGAATCCTTAAATGAAAAACTCAATCACACATGATAAACACATATAGACAACATACAAATCTATATCAACATTTCAACCACATATTATCAATTAATAGAAAATATTATTTAAATAAGGATGAGTTCAAACAAAGTTTATCTATGAAAGAACAATAAGCATGCAAACGATGTAAACAGGCTGTGTGTGCATAAGGTGTATAGGTGCAATGTGTAAGTCTGTGCTGTTTATGTCGTTCAGTAGAGTCTTGTATTGTTAGTAACCAGCGTAAAAGATTTGTCTCTGAACTAAACCAAACCAGCCCAGCCACACTCCAGAAAACTATGATGGATTAAACACCTATGCATGGATTTAGAACTGACTTATGACTAAAAAGCTAGCCCAGGCATCTTCCACAGACAAACACCTCTTTTCGCGGTGACAGTAATTGCGATTAGGAAAATAGTTGTGCTCGATTGTAGACAATTATCGAGTGTGATCACACCCGCTTCCCGACCAAGCCTGTATTATGCGTATTATTCAAGTTACAAAATACTTTTTTGCAGTTTTTTGCAGTTCCACACTTGTGTCGCTCAAATAGTTTTCTATAACATTTTCTTAATAAAAATTCCAATACAAAAAGTATAAAGCAAACATTTTTACTACTGGATGCTGTTCCTAAAGTTGACCTGTTTCACAGAGCAAGACTGGGGATTTTTATTGATATCACTAAAAGGCAAATTACCATCTAAGGTTTATAAGCTTTTTCTACCCTTACCACATTTAAGAAATTTTGTTCTCTTAGGTATATTGCCATCAATGCAGCTAGGGAGTCTCACCTCACCCATATTTATAGTGCTATGATATAGTAATTAAACTATAATAATCAATTTTTTATTTTTATAAATATTTTTCAGAGAACAGGCATTTTAAGTTCCAAATTCAGAGTTTAGAAAAAAAATTATTATTTAGAAATTTGATTTAGTGAATGCACGGAATTATTCACTAAGTATTAAAAAAACTAGCAGGTACTAGTAGCTAGATAAATAACTATATGAAAACATATATATATATATATTTTTCAATAACTTTTATTATAAACTTTAATATTTAATGTAAAATTTATTTAAAACTTTATTGCAGATAACACAACAAAAAGATAATAATTTTTTTTTTTTTTACCTTAAAATGAAAACAAACTACAATAGGTAACTTTTTCATGGATAGCTGCTTTGTTGACTCCTACACAAAATATATTTTTTTAAATTATATATAAAAAAAAAAATTAATAATAAAATTGTCATTTATAGTAATATTTTTAAGTATTTATTTCTAAACTAAAGTATTTTAACCTTAAACTCAAAAACAACCAGTAATTTTTATTAATTGAGACAAGGTTTTAAATTTTTAAATTCTATTGTTCAAACTAATGTTAGATATGTGTTCACCAAATTTCAGAACACAGAAGATTAGGGACCGTCCATAAATTACACAACACTAAATTTTACTAATAAACATCAAAAAGATAAAAAGTTTTCCCTCACAGAGCCTTAAAAGTTAAAAGTTAAGTATAAAAATTAGTAATAAAATATAAAAATAGAAATAGTAAACTAACTTAAATCAAAATCAAAGGTGTAAAAGATCTTTTACATCTTTCATTTTCATTCATTTCATTTCATTAGTCACCACATCAGATCTCTTCAATCTATTTTTCTAATGCTTTTGTTAACTCCTCATCTCTGTGAACATCAAATCTTGCAATCAATTTCTGAGTCACTTCCTGATGATAGATTTTCTTCAAATTTTGCATACATACTCTTGCTTGATGACAATAAAATATTCAATAATTAGTTTTGCAATAAGTCAATTAATTTAGTTAATTTTAACTAAGTTTATTTTTTATAATTTTTAAAATAAGTATATTAGTTTCTACTTATTGGGTGGACACGGGAAAATTTCTTTAAAACCATAAATTCTTTTTATTTACTTTTTTTTTATATTAAATTTGTTTATATTTATTAGGGTTTTATTACCTAACTTTAAGTGGCAAGATGGACTGTTTGACAAGAGATTTTTATAGCAGGATGATGCCATCGATTTGCAGATTTTTTCTTTTTTCACCTTATTGGTGGCATTAATCCACTTGTTTTGGAAGTCCTTTTTATTTTTTGTTACTCCACCTGTGTTACAAAGAACTTCTTTAACTATTGGTCAAAAATCTTCAATCTTGCGCTCTTCAGGACAATTTGGAGGATTTGCATCTTTAGAAACAATTTTACATGATTACCTTTGCATCACTGTAGAAATTTTTTAGAACATTTAGAAGCAGCAAGATCTGGCCAAAAAAACATCGGTATTTGTGTTTTCTCATAAATGGCAAAAGTCTTTTTTCGGGGGCATTCTTTGATGTAGAGATTGGCAGTCAAGGTCTTTTTAGTAACAAAACAAGAGAACTGCATACCACAACTACAAATTGCTTGCCACACAAGGAACTTGGATAAATTTTTTTTCGTAAAATCTATTTAAATTGATTATCAACAGGTTTATCTTTGTTCTTATAGTAAAATTGTTGTCCAGGAAGTTGTGAAAAACCCGCCTTGCAATGTTTTGTCGTCTATAATTATACATATACTTTTATCTGCCATTATTTTAACCAACTTCTTTGCATGCGGAATTTCTTTAATTTCACCATATAAATTTTTCATAAGTGTATTTTCTTTACTTCCAGCATTTTCAAGTATTTTTTTGATATAAGAACGTGAAGATTTAAACTTTCTTGCCACTGTGACTGGTTCAGATTTCTTGCTATTGAACTAAGAATCGACTTTATGTTTTAGGATTTATGGGAAGTTTTCTTTTTCTCTCTTCCAAGTTTTCCTTTTAAGCTTTGAATAGTCTAAAACTTATTTATAATATCTATGACTGTAGATTTTGGGACTTTAATACGATTAATTTAATAAAAAATTTAAAACGTTTAATTTAATAAAAAACTTAATACGCTTAATTTAATAAAAAATTTAATACGTTTAATTTAATAATAAAATTTAATACGTTTAATTTAATAAAGAATTTAATACGTTTAATTTAATAAAAAATTTAATATGTTTAATTTAATAATAAAATTTAATACGTTTAATTTAATAATAAAAAGCAATTAAGCAACATGAAGTCGATGTATTTTTGCAAAAAAAATCAACTTTTTTACACACTTCAATTTGTTTCGGAAACAATTTGAAAATCATTTTGATTTGTAAACAAAAATATATGAAGATAATTAAAGATAAGAAATTAAGATTTAATTAAAAGAATAAAAGAAATAAAAAGCATTTGTGGTTTTGGAGAAATTTAAATTTGACCGGATTTTTCCAATGTCCACCTGATATACGCGCATTTAGCTTATCTGGAATAAAAATCTGGAATAAAACCCAAATCCGGATAATTGGAATCTTTATATTGCTAGCTTTTTTGAATTCAATTTTTTTTTGTTGTGCTTAAAAGCAAAAACCAATACAAAAAGCAAAAAACTGTAACACATTTTGTTTTTATTAAAACAACAGCAAACAATTTTTATAGTAAAATTGTGAATAAGCAGGTTGAGTGATTTTACACTAGTTTTAATAATATTTATTATATAACATTAAGACAGAAGGTTGTGCTTGAAACTTGCCAATTAATTATTCACAATGTTATTTTTTGCATTATCAGTGCATTATACAGTGTGCATTATACACTGCCTTAATGATACAAAAAGTGGGTAGATTGCTACCTTGTGAACAAATTTTATGTTTTGCACATGCAATTCAAATTGCTATGGTGAATATATTTTATAAAAAACATAATAAAAGTAGAGAAAGATGAATTTAATAGTAAAAGTAAATCATGAATCTGATGAAGAAAATCTTACTGATGACAAAAATAATAAAATAAAATAATGTAAAATAATATAGGATGATAAAAATAGAATGCGGGTAGACATGAAACTAATTGTATAAATTAGTTTATAATAAATTAGCCGGAAGAAAATGAAACTAATTGTATAAAAACCACCAAAAATTTCTAGCATTGATCACTAAAGTTGTTAATGTAATCTGTTGTTCGCTTTTGAAAAATGAAGTGCTTTAAAAATAGGTGAAGCAAGATCGTAAATGAGTTAAACCATGTATTAGATTCCAAAAGTAGATAAAGCAGCATGTTGTTCATGTTAGATCGTTTAAATGTTTTAAAATCTTCATTAAAGAAAGCACTTTATAAAGTAAATGTGGACATTTATTAAACAGAAAATTATTAAAATTTAATAAACGGAATGGGATACAGTACCACAAATATTGAAAAATTTAATGCCAGTGAAACTAGCTGTGGACGCATTATGTCTTGCTGACATCAACTTAGTTTCTGCAGACGCAATATTTACATTTATGTTACAAAATTTAGTTGAGGATAACAAAAATTGGCCTTGAATTGAAAAAAGAGCTAGAAATCCAAATTAACGGAAGAAATATTTTATCTGATGTTTTACAGTATTTGCATAATGTATAGAGGGGGAAAAAATCATTAGAGTATTCTAAACAGACATAAATATCTTTATTTTAACCCTAGCCCAATGTCCTAATAATGAAACTTCTCCGGAAAATGATTCAACAAATTCTGAGTCTGATCCTAATATAGAATCTGAACTTGAACATATCTAAACTGAACCCTCTTTGGCAAAATTGCTACAGCAAAAAATCCAGCAGTCACTTTTACACCCGAGAACAAGAACTTAAAAAAACCATCAATTCAATTAGCAATATGAAATTAAATTAAATTTTGGGACAAAAATGCGAGTGGCGTGGACCACTTTTGAAAAATATTTACATAAATCTGTTGTGTATTCCTCCAACAAGTGTTGAAGCAGAGAACTTTTTCCACCGCTAGAACAAAATCAAGTCAAGACTTAATGATACAACATAATTTGTGTATGTTAAGCAGCTTTTTTAAAAATTAGAATTAAACAAAAATGTTTTTGTAAATTTTATTCTTTTTCTCATTGAATTTGTTTTGTTTATTTAATTTTTTTTATTGAATTTGTTTTATTTTACTAAGATACTTGAAAAAAATTTAATTTTAATTAGTGTGAAATACTTTGAAACTTTTCATTTTCTTTCAATTTTTTTTGCGACCCGGAATGATATCAGAATTCCAAATTTTATTTCATGTAATTCTGAAAATTTCGGAATTCATTTTTCTACAAAAATTGGATTCACTACATACAGACAAATCTTAATAAAATTATCAGAAAAAATAACATAAAAAGTTTTAATAACATATAAAAGCATTGGATTTTAAATTTTTAATTTTGCTTGTTTAAAATGTTTTGTGTTGCATAATTTATAGGCAATTCCTTTTTTCCAAATAGTAACAGCAATCCCTTATTTTGATTTATTTCACTAACTATGAAAAAAATATAATGAAAGCAGAACTAATCAAGACTAGTTCAAATCATACAGTAGTACTAATGGCTAATGGAGCTGTTATTTAAATCTACAATTCTTTCTTGTACAATACATACTACACTGCTACAAACTTTTAATGCACTAGTTTAGCAGTGCACTATACAACTAAGCTTTTTTTCGAAAGGGTTTATATATATATATATATATATATATATATATATATATATATATATATATATATATATATATATATATATATATATATATATATATATATATATATATATATATATATTTATATATTTATATATATATATATATATATATATACATATATATATATATATATATATATATATATATATATATATATATATATATATATATATATATATGATTTAAATGTTAACATCTTGTAGGAGAGTATGTATGTCAAAAATATAAAAACATCAATTAATACAAGTTCTCTCAATACTATTGTTAATTTATTTGAAATTTTTGCTGGATTATAGTTACCAGCATCATCAGCTATAATATCGTAATTAAAAATTACAATTATGACCGTTATAATAAATTACAAAAATTAAACATTGGCGTCAGCGTTAGAACAGCTTCTTTGACGCAATAATGCAAATAATGGAGTCCAAAATTTAGTTTTAACGTATTGTCCGTTATCTAAGTTTATTCCACAATAAATTGGAGAGCATTGATGTTTTTGAATCTCTAATGCTTCATAAACTTTCCTATCAAATTATATTATATTCTTCTTTAAGTGTTTTAACTTTATTCCAATTAATTTCTTCTCTACAGTTTTTTTTATGAAGAGCTCTTCATAAAACTTATCTTCCATCAAACGTTTTTGGTGTTGTTGAGATCTTGTTCTAATTTGTAATTTTATATCTTCAAGAGGAGATTGATTTTTTAATTAATATATTTATTGAAAATGGTTATAACAAAAGCCAGCTTCAAATTATTGTTAACCAGGTTAAAATAAAAAGATCTACTAACATGAATGAAATCCCTAATGCAAACAAAATTCAAATACCAACAAATCCAAATGCACTTTCTACAATCTCTTTACCTTGGATACCATTATAATACCCAAAACTTCGAAAAATATTTTGGAAAGCTGGTTACCACACTGTTTTTTAAATCTAATTATAATTTAAGGACTCTACTAACATCAAAAGCAAATTGAGGCTACCGGACAACAGTAAACCTGGAATTTATTTAATTGAATGTAATTGCTCTAAAGTGTATGTTGGTGAAACAAAATTACAAATTAGAACAAGATCTCAACAACACCATGTTTGATGGAAGATAAGTTTTATGAAGAGCTCTTCATAAAAAAAACTGTAGAGAAGAAATTAATTGGGATAAAGTTAAAACACTTAAAGAAGAATATAATATAATTTGATAGGAAAGTTCATGAAGCATTAGAGATTCAAAAACATCAATGCTCTCCAATTTATGGTGGAATAGACTTAGATAACGGACTATATATTAAAACTAAATTTTGGACTCCATTATTTGCATTATTGCGTCAAAGAAGCTGTTCCAGCGCTGATGCCGAAGTTTAACTTTTGTAATTTATCATAACAGTCATAATTGTAATTTTTAATTACGATATTATAGCTGATGATGCTGGTAACTATAATCCAGCAAAAATTTCAAATAAATTAACAATAGTATTGAGAGAACTTGTATTAATTGATGTTTTTATATTTTTAACATATATACTCTCCTACAAGATATTAACATTTAAATCATATATATATATATATATATATATATATATATATATATATATATATATATATATATATATATATATATATATATATATATATATATATATATATATATATATATATATATATATATATATATATATATATATATATATATATATATATATATATATATATATATATATAATATACCATTGGCCATAAATTAGAGCTCACTTTTTTTTTTTTAAACATTATTTTAAAATAAAATTAGTTGAAAATAAAAGTTATTTTTTATTTTTTAATATTATAAGTAAAATTTGTATACATTATGGAAATCCAAAAAAATAAATATAAACATAATGGTCTTGATACTAAAAAAGGGAAAATAATGAAACAGGTTATATTTTTTCAAAAAAAAAATTGGCTAAAAGTTAAGGATATATTCCAAATAATATATAAGAACAACAATTTACAAAAGCAAAACCATAAAAAAAAGCATTTTAATATTTTTTAGAACCTCCTTTCTTGTGTAAGCGTTGATTTACTCTCTTTGGCATTGAGTTATACAAGATTTTGAGTTATTTCTTTAGGCACATTGTCAAGCAGTTTTCTTATTTCAGTTTTTAATTGTTCAACATTTAAAATTTGAATTTTTCCAAGATGATGAACTAACCAAGACCATAAATTTTCTATACAAATTAAGTCAGGGCTGTTAGCAGGCCAAGACATTATTGATATTTGGTTGTCTACAAACCATTGTTTGGATATTTTTGCTGTATGGCATGACGCGCCATCTTGTTGATGTATCATATTGCTGTTTTTTTCTTTAAATATATCAATTGAGAGAAGGCAATTATCTAAAATTTCAATATATCTATTAGCATTAAGTCGACCTTCAAATAATCAATAGCACCAAAGTCCTGCATACTTCATGCAGGCCCAAATGCCTATATTGCCACTACCTTGCTTAGTTCGTTTTAATGTACAATTTGAATCAAATCTCTCTTGAGGTGATTGCCGTAGCAAAACACTGCATTTTTGCATATCTACCTCAATTCATTTTATCGGAGAATTTTTATGTTGATTGCACCAGGCAACCCTTGCTTTTTGCAGTTTCTTTGAAAGTCTTGGCTTTTTGCATGCAGATTGTCACATATAATTTTTTTCTATGAAGAATTCTTCTAACAGTTCTTGAACTCACTTTTATTTCAGATGTATTGTTTAATTTATGGCAGAGAGCGTTTGACAATAACTTTCTGCCATGTTTCATTTAACGAATTAACAAACATTCATCTCTTTTTGTTGTTACACCTGGCCAACCAGATTGGCGTCGGTCCTTAATGTCAACTGTTTCACTAAAATGTTTTAAAATACATGCAACAATCGAATATGCAATATTTAACTCATTTGCTATTTGACGGTGAGATAGTCCTTGGCTTCGAAGAAAAATTGATTCATAACGTGTTTTTCAGAGATTCTTGATCGTGTATTTGGGGTTTCATGTTGTATTTCTTTGCTCATTTTGTAACTTTTTTATAATTTAATTTACTTGTGTTTTTTTTAGTACTATTTCAAAAAAAACAAAAAAAAATTAGAAATAATAAATGCAGATGAAAATAAAATGAAAATTATTGAAGAAAATTATTAATATATTACTTAAAATTTAAAAATAAAGCAGTGAGCCTTAACTTTGGACCAACATAAAAAATTAAAACTATAATGTAGTTGTTATCAAATTATATATAATTAGGCATACAAAATAAATTTTAAGGAAACAACATGTCAAATAAACAGTAAACATAATACTTATTAAATAGTACTAATAAATTATTGAAAAAGTATAATAGTTTTTAAAATAATTTCAATCAAACAGGATTATAAAACAAAAAAAAAAGTGAGCTCTACCTTATGGCCAATGGTGTATATAGTGTGTTTGTAAGTGTGTTTATATAGAGATAAAAATGGTGTGCCAAAAGATAAAGAAAAAATATAAATATATCAATATCAAGTTTAAAAAATCATACTTGGTAACTTAGGCAATGACTGCATCGAATTTTTGCCTCACTGCCAAGTTTTTCTTTTCGAGTAAACCTGAATAAAAGAAAAATAACTTCACCTGAACAAATAAGATAAAATAATTCAACAAAAAATAATTTGCTTCATTTAAAACCTCCTTAAGCATTCTGTAAGTGACTGTGGAACAAACTTTTCATCTTCAGAACAGCGAGAGGAAAACGACTCAATTTTGGCATCTATTTTAAAAAAGTAAAACTACATTCTAATCAAAAAATTAAAAAACCTTTTTTTATAGTATTGTTAAATATATATAAATCTTATTTATAAAAAAAAACTAAAAATTTTAATTCAGCTTTTTTGATTCACCTGTTGTGTCGAAAAGAATATTAGGAGTTCTTCGTCCTGACTTTAAAGCTGGGTTATAATCACCAAGGTCAAGAGATATGTCCCAGAATGGATCAACAGTTGTAGAAACACCTCTAAAACATTGGAGTAATTTAAACAATTAATAATGAAGTTGTGAGTTACAGTAAACAAAGAAAAAAGTTACACAGGAAGAAAACAGATGACAGAATACTTAAAAAACTGTCAAAAAAGCATGGAGAAAATTCTAGAGAATTAATGTTGAGAAAAGAACTTTTTTTTTTGCAACTTTTTTACATTTAAAAAATGAAAGGTTTTAAGCACGAAGGAATACATTGAACAAAGAATTTGCACAAAAAAATGTTTTGGTGTAAAATTTGCACAAAAAAATGTTTTGGTGTAAAATTTGAACACAAAAAAAGTTTTGGTGTAAAAGACTTTAAATAATAGTCATGAAAATTTTTTAGTTAAAGGAACAAATGATAAAAGCTTAAACAGCAGCTTTTAAGCTTTTTCAACAGGAGTTAAAGGAGAAAATAAATAAATAAATATTATAAAATAAAAAAAACAAACAAATAAATAGACTTTAAATGATAGTCAAAAACAAATAAAAGACTTTAAATCGAGACAAAAAAAACAAATAAAAGACTTTAAATCAAAACAAAAAAAACAAATAAAAGACTTTAAATGATAGTCATGAAAATTTTTTAGTTAAAGGAACAAATGATAAAAGCTTGAACAGCAGCTTTCAGCTTTCTCAACAGGAGTTAAAAAGAAAAATAAATAAATATTATAAAAAAAATAAATAAATAAATAAAGCTAGTTAAAGGAGCAAATGACAAAAACTTGAACAGCAAACATTGTATTTGATGACAAAAGCTCATGTTTAGCAGCATGAGCAGTCATACTTGACACACAGATTTATACTAAAGAAGCTTTAAATATTTATACTTCATGAGCTTTAAATATGCTGTAGATATATGTTGATATTTTATACTTGCAGAGTTGTTTGAAAAAATAACAAAAACTTGTATAAAGGAAAAAGAAAAAAACAATATATTTTTTGTTTAATTTTAGTAGCCCTTTTAACTCCTTTTAAAGTTTTTTTTAACACTTTTCCTTTTTGTTAACTGCTTTTAAAATAAAATTTATGGTTTATGGGAAAGTGAAGGTCAGTTAATGTTAGTAACTGATAGTAACTGACTTTTTTTCACATTTTTCACTTTCGAACTGCATTGAATAGAAATAAGAAGATCTTTTAAAAATTTTTATAAAATGATTTTGAATTTCTATTTAATGTCTACTTGTTGTTTTTAAATATCGCTAGCCTGTCATCAAAAATATTGCTGACCTGTCAACAAAAAATCAAAATCTTCATTATTATAAGCTTGAAAAATTTGAAACAATAGCAAAATTTCCTATAAACACATACATTTCAGCACCATATTTATTAGAGATGTGCTTTGTACCTGGCTTGGTCTAAGTTTTCCAGCTTTCCAGGTCCATGCTGGTCATCAACACATCAACATATTCAAAGTACTCATGAAAACTGCTGACATAAACAGAGCGAGGTACCTGGCACATACACATTCTGGGTGCCCAGGAAAACTACTTGAACAGAAAGATGACCTGGCTCTGACTGGGTAACAGGCAGTTTTTTTCGTTACCTTAAACATATGTTGGGTATCTGACTTTAATTATTCTGCCGTTTTTTTTAGGTACTCGAAATATATGGATGTATGTGCAACTGTGTGCGCAACTTGAACCCAGAAAAACTGCTAGAAAAACAGATTAAGCTGGGTACCTGGTACATCTCAGATATACATTTAAGGTTACAAATAGAATCGAATTTTTCAAAAAATGCAATCACTGCCAGCAATAAAAAAGTTGATCCAAAAATAAAAAATAAAATTAATAAAGAAGGGAAGCATGTTTTACATAACCATAATGTTGACAATAAAATAAAATAAAAACAGGACTTCAAGAAGCTTTTACATTGAAAGATAAAAAAGATGTAGTCACATGCTTGACCTAGGCATATACTTAGCGGGAAATAACCCTTTAGTTTGATTTTTGAATCTAGCAAAAAAGAGTGTAGGAAGGATAAACAAATCTATTTCATCTAAATTTAACAATAAATTAAAAAAAAAAGTCAATTATCAATGCTAAGCTTAAATGTTACTAACTTGTTTCTAAAAATTTTTTTACTACTTCAGGTCTGTTCAGGTTTGGAATCATCATGCTACTGGTAACACGTAATCCAATACAACCAGTCCTGTATTGGATTACATCCTGGATTGTACTGGACCACATATTACCAGTACTTTGATAGCAGTTATTTCACTGCCTTTTAAATAAGCAGAAATGTTCTTTTGACCAACCCTGCATTCTTAATCTTTTAGGCTAATATAAATTAGTGTTTCATTGTTTGCTGCCAAGGATGATGATCTAGATCTTGACTCATGGTATTATTGTTGATGCCACATAAGGAGCTTGTTGTTACAACTTTGGGTTAATTGGCAAGACTGTAACAAATGCACCACTTTCCATAGGGTGTTATACAATTAAAAATATGACAAAATTAATTAAAAGTATTAAGCATAAAAAACCAAAACCATCACCACCACAACTACAAAAAACCGTCACCACCACCTAATTGTTTTAATCTTTACAAAAATTTGTGGTAAAAATAACTTTTTACCTGTCGATAACTTTTTGATTCTTACAAAATCTTACTTGCTCTTTATCTCATTAATTTGAATTCGGCTGTTCCATCTTTTCCATCGTTCCATCTTTCGAGCTCAGAGTTAATGGCCAATATCCTTTGATTTGCAAAGAATCAATCACCTTTGTCTTTGTTCAATACCATTCTCCTCTTACTTAAGACTGCACTTTTTTTAAAGTTATTTCTAATCAAATTAACTGACCTTTTTCTCTTAATCCATCAACCAATATTTTTGTTAAACTGTGACTTTAATGTTCATCACACTTAATAGTTTTATCACTGAACTTTTTATGGTTTTATCAGTGAACTTATCAGTGAACTTATCAGTGAACTTATCAGTGAACTTATCAGTGAACTTATCAGTGAACTTATCAGTGAACTTATCAGTGAACTTATCAGTGAACTTATCAGTGAACTTATCAACTTAGATGCACAAAACTTTTGTTTTTCTGATTTTTTACTCAAATGATTTAAGCTAAACTTCAAGTTATATGATAACTATGTGATTCATATTCCAGAAAACCCTATGTGCCTTTACTCCTTAATCAGGACCGGTGCAAGGGCCATGCGAGTTCTATGGTCGCTGGCTCATCTAGGGCGCCGCGCTGGCTTAACGGTTTTTTTATTTTTTATTTTTAAATCATTAAAATCTTAAATTTCGATTTAAAAAAACAAATAAATAAATATTTTTTAAATTTACTAATATTATTAATATTTATAAAAACTTTATAAAAATAATTAAATACTTTTATAAAAAACTTTTATATATTTTTTAGCATCCATAATGTGCATATGTACCGAGTTCTTTACGCATTAGGGGTGCCAAACTTTATATGTTAGATGTAAAACAAGTAAATGTAAAAAATCATAAGTAATGATTTTTTACATTTTTTCTCAGCACTTCAATGAAAAAATAACTAGATCGAGGATAGTATTTATTTATTTGTTTGAAAGAATAAGTTTGTGAGTTAATTGTTTATTTAAATCATGCTAAATGTTTATTTAATGATAAACTCACACTAAGGGGTGCCAAAGTTTTTATTTTAAACTATTGATTTTGTATGTATTTGCTTCTGCACTTCAATGAAAAAAAATAATTACAGTAGTTAATTATTTGAAAGAATAAGTTTTTGAGTCACCATGACAGTAAAAAAAAGAAACCATTAGATTTTTTTTTATAGCAAATCAGATATGGAGAGAGAAGATTAAAAAAGAAACATTGATTAAATATTTTTCTAGACTGGAAAAACAAGATCCAAACGATAATCAGCATCAATTGCAGTTAAGATACAATAAAAAAATGAATTTATTACAATTAACTTTGTTAATAAATACAAAATAATATTAAGTTAAAGAGATAATAGATTACCCTTTATTTAAGCCTTAATAACAATTGTTTTCTACTGGTGTTGTGCATACTTTTAACCATAATTAAAATCATAAAAAACAAAAAATAAAACACCTTGTACCCTAAGTGCAAAAGACGTCAGGAAAAAAAACACAGTTCTAAGATTTAAGACATTCAGTTCTAAGATTCTAAGACATTCTTGATGAAGCAGTTAAAGTTTTATCTTTTTCTGTACAAAAGCGCTTTAATTTACAACCAAGTACCAGTAAAAGTACATCAATTTCATTTTCATTAAGCATTTCAGTCTTTTCTTAAAAAAAAAATTGTATAAAATCACAGTACTAAGTCTTCTTTTAAAACAAAGTTTTAGTTTTAACTCCTCTCTTTGTATTATGCAATTTCTTGGTATTCAAGAATTAACTTATTGTGAAACGAAAACAAAGAAAACAATGGTAACTTTTTAAAACTTATTGAGCATATTTCAAACTTTGACATTTGTTCTTTCTGAACATCTTCGTCGGGTGACTACCTAAAAAAATCATGTACAATTTAAACAAAAAAGTTCAAAATGAGTTTATTGGTCTTCTTTCCTGTAAAGTTATTGAGTTATCATGTGCGAACTGCAGAAAACTTTGTATTATTCTATAAATCTTGACTGAACTCCTGACATAATTTTTAAAGAATAAAAGAAACATATAGTTTGGTTTGTGTATGCAGTTGCAGGAGAAGAAGTAAAGGTGAGGGGACGTTTCCTTGGATTTGTTCATGTCTCTGAAAAATCTGGGTAAGGGTTGACAGCTTGCTTGTTAGACGAGCTTTTAAAAAAAGAAACAAAATTTTTTTTCTTACAAAATTTTCATGGTAAAAGTTTTATAATAGATCAAATATAAAGGGAAAAAATGTAGGAAAAAACGCAGGTGTACAAAAAAAAAGATTCTTGACCTTGACCCACGAGCTTATTTTGTTTCTTGTGAAAGACATTCGCTAAAACTTGTTGTCAATGATGCAGAATTTTCCTGCACTTTAGCTGTTAACTTTTTCAG